GAATACTATATGTTAAGATAATATTTGTCATCAACTCCAATGAGTCATGTGGTTCAGTTCCACCAACTATGATAGGACATTGTTTCTTTAAAATACCAAATGTCCTTTTAATTACATTTTTAAGTGATGAATAACAAATATTAAACAATTTTATTTGATTTTGAGGACCTCTTTGAGTGTACTCTTTTAGGTTATATCTAACGTTGCGAAATGGTGTTATTATAATTGACTTTAACATAAGGTCAACACCCCAAGGTAATATTTTCCTACATTTGTTGTACTTAAAATTATATTCAATAATTACTAAGTTAGTATAAATGAAGTGCATCAAATTTTATACAACTCATCTTATGGAATAATCAATATATCCTCTCAAATGATGACATCCTTCAATATTCATGAATCAGATATTGTTTTTTCCCATCTTACTAAAATATATGTAAATTTCATATTGAAATCGCAAACTTCAAATACGTTTTGCATTGAACAATCTTTTTTTCCTTGAAAACAAGACACATATACTTATGGAACATTAAATACGTATATGAGTGACGTTTATTACTCCTAAAAAATCCTAAAAAGTAAGAAATATGATAGTGTAAATATCAAGTAATATATTATATATGTGAAGTGACACTATAATTTGGACTATATTACCTTTAAATATAGGTAAAATTGATTATTTTTTAGAAAATGAGGTTGAAAGTTGGTCCCAATTTATTGAATTAAGAATTATGCCTTCAATGTCAGTCTTGCATTCAAGACATTATGGAAGTGTCAAGAAATGATTTCCCGTACTAATGAAAAAAAGAATGAAAAGTTTCTATTATTTATATTATACCCAATAATGTAAAAAAATTGATGATCGATCCAAATCCATTTTTTACCAATTCAATTACTCTTAATCATTCATGTAATATAATAAATATTTTATGTCTCATCCAAATAATGTTATAAAATTATTTAATGTATATTAAATAAGATAATAATTCTTATCAACAATATTTTTTTAGTAAAACAAACTCTAGAACCACTGCGACAAAGATACCAACCCAACTTTAAAAACCTGAAACCAACACTCCCTTTTAAATGAATAACATTAATCACAACCACATCCACCACGAAACTCAACTCTCCTAACATTATTCACACATTTTTAATAGTCTATTTAAAACCCCATCACTACTACAAAATATGCTTTCAACGTCGTCATTTAACGTCGGTTAAAGCTGAGCCGACGTTAAATACACTTTCAACGTCGGTTGGTTAAAAAACGACGTTGAAAGTTGAATGTTGGACACTTTCAACGTCGGTTCCAAGTCAACCGACGTAGAAAGTACATTCAACGTCGGTTCCCTGATGAACCGACGTTGAATGTGTCTTCACACAAAATTCTTTTAAGTTTGAGAATTGTCACTGACAGAGTTCGAACCCAAGTACTTTAGAGTTGAAAGTTGTTACTCCAACCACTAAACTACCGTAATTTTCTGATAATAACTTACAAATTAATTATATTTATATACAAATAAATATATATTCTGTGTAAATATATATTTATTTATATTTTCTGGAAAGTGATTTTATTTTTTTCAGCCAAAAATTCACTTAAGTTAGAGAATCGTCATCGACAGGATTCGAACCCAGTATTTTAGAATTGAAAGCTAATACTCCAACCACTAAACTACTATAATTTTTTGATAATAACTTACAAATAAATTATATTTATATACAAATAAATATCCGTGTAAATATATATTTATTTATATATATTTTCCTGGAAAGTGTTTTTATTTTTTTCAGTAAAAAATTCACTTAAGTTAGAGAATTGTCACTGATAGGATTCGAATATAGTATTTTATAGAGTTGAAAATTGATACTCCAACCACTAAACTACTATAATTTTTTGATAATAATTTACAAATAAATTATATTTATATACAAATAAATATATATCCGTGTAAATATATAAATATAGAATATATAAATACAAATATATTTATATATTTTGATATATTTATATATTTTTATGTTGGATGTGAGGGCGCGATCGAGGGTGAAAGTGAGATTGACTCTCGCTTAAGTGAAAATACGTTAAAGCTCACAGAAATTCACTCGTTCAAGCCTAGCTTGAGCGAAAATTGGTATTTTTTGCTTGAGCGAATGTGTCACTTGAGCGAATGATGCGTTTCCCAAATTTATTTTATATCATTATATAAATAAATTATAAATATTATATTACTGTCATTAAATTACAAACCCATATAAAGAGACTCGCTCACAAATTTGGCATCAAATTTTGAAAACCCACTCGACACACACTTTCACCTTCGAGCGTGCCCTCACATCCAATATATAAATATATAATTATTTAAATATATCAAAATATATAAATATATTTGTATTTATATATTTACACGGATATATATTTATTTGTATATAAATATAATTTATTTGTAAGTTACTATCAAAAAATTTGAGTAGTTTAGTGGTTGGAGTATCGCCCTCCAACACTAAGTGCATCGGTTCGAATCCTGTCGATGACAAAAAATAAGGAAAATGATACTTTGACAACCCAAATCCATACAACTTTTGTAAACAACCCCGATTTAATATAATAATAGTTTTGTTTTATTTTTATTTTTTTTAAATCGATCTATAGATTATTATATTAATAAAAGTGAGTTGTTTGAAGAGTTGTATGGCTTTTGATTGTCAAAATATCACTACTCAAAAAATAATTTGGTGTAATGCTTTAAACTTTAAAAAAATATGATAAATAATAAAAATATAACACTTTCAACGTCGGTTAAATAGAACTGACGTTGAAAGTCTTAACTTTCAACGTCGCCTGATACAACGTCGGTTCTAAAACCGACGTTGAAGGCCTTTCAGAACCAACGTTGAAGGCCTTATTTGTAGTAGGGCATCTACCATCAACCATGGTTTGGTTAATGCATGTAGGAAATCCTTCAAGAATGTCGTGAGAAATCTGTGCATGCTGCCAATGCATGCCATACACAGTGAAAAACAATAAAATCACTCGCTGCAAAAATCGAAAGCCACAATTAGAAAACAAGGGGCAAAACTACACTTCCAATTCAATCAATTAATTTGGTGGGTGGTGATATTTTGACATGCCACATTCCTATCCTATCTATAACCATAAATAATAATAAAATAATAATTAATAATATTGTAATAATATGTTGAATAATGGTTGAAAAGATGCTCTAATTTGGTTCCACCCCACATTTCACTTCGAAAATTCTGAAGACATTATAATGTTAATTAATAGTTCACTGTGATTGGCTATTTGATGTTATAAAGAGGTCACTCTACTACCAATCAACTACTAAAAGCAACCTTTATTAAAAGAAAAGGTTGGTTGGTGAGTGTTTCTGGTACTGGACATCACGCACTCGTGGATAAGTTTGAAAACATCGCGGGTTCAACCTTATATATGCTATAATTGATTCTGCATCCACCTCTGCTTGTTTCCAATTTAACATAGACAATACCCTAATTTATTATTGCACAACAATATCTGAGACTAGGGTCCATGCAAAAAGGTTAAAAGGGTGCGCAACTCGATTCAATCTCCACAATAAACACTAGAATGTTGCCATTTCAAGGAATACTCACACAAATACAAGCCTAAAATAATTTGAAAATATTCTTTCGCGGAAAGCTGCCAAAAATCAAACTCTGATTTCTAATTCATAGTTATCTTAATCCAAATAATTTTAAGTGCATTTTAATAGATTATTTTAAATTTAGATTCATATTTTAAGTACGTTTTAAGCAAGTTGTTATAATTAGCAAAAAGTTTAAATTACAATTATGGAATCCTTTTATTAAACAATTGTATTAATAATTATTATATATGATATCTCTCCCAAATTAACAATTTAATGTTAAAAAAAATAATTATTAATAAAAATATAATCACTAAAGTAATTTAAATAAATTTTAATTTTAATTTATCAATTATGTTAACTTCAATTTTAATATAAGTTTTATCTAGTTAAATTATTAAATAAAATAGAAATTTCAATTAGATGAAAAAAATCCAAATGATTTTATTTAATTAAATAAATTTAGATTAAAAAATCAACTTATTTTATTATATTTAGATAAAATATAAATAAATTTTTAAAAATCTAATTCATAGGGACCCATCAAATATTTGGTTCTAAACTTTAACTTTATTGGAACCTTTAAATATCAATAAATAGTACTTTAAAGCATTACAAAACAAATGCAAATAAGTGGTACAGCGATGATTGATTATCTTTGTGTCTGGCTTGTCTCTCTGATCAATGATGCTAGATGCTAAATAAAATGAAGCGTAAATTTTGGGTAATGTATACATAATTTAATTTAAATATGTTAGACTCATTATTTATTAAGTCAAATAATAAAGTCAAATAATAAAGTGAATAATAAAGTGATAAATTGATATGAATAAATTAAAATTTTGACTAAAGTGTATGTCATGAAAATAAAATTATGTAAAGACCATAGAGTAATTTCTAATTTGATGAGGACCAAATTGAAAATACTACCTTAAGTAATTAACCTAATTTTGGTTATTTTAAGGGGTCATGGTCCCCTTCTGGGAGCATGTAGACAGAACACAGTTACAGTCCCGTTCCTTTCTTTTTATCCCCATTAAGATAAAAAATCAAGAAAAAAATACAGGTACTCTTCAAGTGAAACACCATAAGATGAATATTGTTATAAAAGAAACATGATCATGGCTAATTCACTTATGCTTTCACGTTTAGTTTACAACATTTTTACGAGATTACTTTATATTTCATCATCAAAATCATAATTAATTACAATTTATCTAACCCTGCCGCCACCACCACCACCCTCTCTATATATACCTCCCATTATTTCTCTCTTCTCTCAGCAAAATCCCACATTGTGCAATCCACTTACCATACCAACATCACCCCCACTATAACCTTCATATCCGACGAGTGTTTATCTGGATGGAATCTTCAAAGGAAAAGTGTAACAATGGCAATGATAACAGTAACAGGGACCCCCTTAACTGGGGCATGGCTGCGGATGCTTTGAGAGGTAGCCACCTTGAGGAGGTGAAGCGCATGGTGGAGGAGTACCGTAACCCCGTGGTGACGGTAGGTGGGAAGAGCCTCACCGTGTCTCAGGTGGCGGCGGTTGCCAACGGTGGCGTGTGGGTGGAGCTGGCTGAGGAGGCCCGACACGGCGTGAAATGCAGCAGTGATTGGGTGACTGATAGTTTGGTTAACGGCGTTGATACGTACGGGATCACCACAGGCTTCGGTGGAACCTCCTACAGGAGAACCAACCAAGGTGTTGCCCTCCAAAACGAACTCATCAGGTCATTCTTCTGTTATCTTCTTTCATATTATCTCAATCATAAATTTTTGCTAGTTTTTTTACGACAATTTAACTAATTTATCATAAATCTTAAATCTAATTATTTATTATAAATTTTAACACGTTAAAAAAACTCAATTCTCATTTAAAATTTAGTTATATAGTTTATTAAAAAAACTAACAAAAAATCAAATAATACATATTAATTATATATCATGTGCTTTCGAAGATTTGAAACACGTGCACGTGTGTCATCTTTTCTACTTTCGTTGAGTTTCATTTAATTTTAGTTAACCAAATTAGAAAAAAAATGATTACGTGGGAAGAAAAAAATGATCCACTTCATTGACTGTGATGTGTTTGGTTAGATATATATGTTAGTATTATGTTGCTTGATTTAGTCCCACATCGATTATGATTGTGAGATGAGGTTCTCTATTTTGTTATATAAGCAACCCTATGTAAAGTTTGAGATATACACAGAAATAAAAATACTTCCTAGTGTAGTCGTGGACGTAGGCATACATATTTTAGCCGAACCACGTTAAAATTCTTGTGTCGTTTATTTTTCTCTTCTTCATTCTTTCTTTTATTATTGTCTTGTTCCTAACAATTGGTATCAAGAGCCAATTTTCTTAGTATGCTCTGTGGTTGCAGCTTTGTCTCGATCTTCCACATCGGAAAAGATTTGGTCTTTTTTCTTGGGAATCTCGGCTTAGAGAAGCAGTGGGAGCTTTCTTCGAAAGCAGTGAGAGCAATGGCATTGGAAGAAGGAAAGGTGAGGATCGAGAAGTTCGATGGCGATGACTTCGGGTTCCGGAAGATGCAGATGGAAGATTATCTCGTATCGGAAGAAGTTGTATCTACCCTTGACAGGCAGAAGCCAACCGACATGGAGCAATCAGAATGGGAGTTGTTAGATCGGCAGACGCTTGGTGTGATCCGGCTGACATTAGCCAAGAATGTTGCGTTCAACATCATGAATGAAAAGACAACCGTAGATTTGATGCGGCGTTGTCAAATATGTATGAGAAGCCCTCTGCAGCCAATAAAGTGCATTTGATTCGCAGTGCTAGTCAACCTCAAAATGGGTGAAGGTAACTCTGTTACTAATCATATTAGTGAATTTAATGCAATTATTGCGCAGTTGACATCAGTGCAGATAATATTTGATGATGAGGTGAAAGCATTAATTTTATTATCATCTCTACCGGAAAGTTGGGGTGCAACTGCTATCGCTAGCAAGTAATTCTGCAAGCAATAACAAGTTGAAGCTTGATAACATCCGTGACTTGATCTTAAGCGAAGATGTTCGCAGGAAAAATTCGAAGAGAATCTTTCAGTTCTAATTCAGGTTCAACGATTGAGTACCGAAACTAGAGGAAGAAGTCGCCGTAAAGGTCGTAATCAAGGCCGAGGCAGATCAAAATCCGAGAGGGAGATCACAAGCAAAAGTCCGAATGATATCACTTGTTGGAATTGTCGAAAAAGGGCCACTTTTCAAATCAGTGTAGGGCTCCAAAGAAGGACAACAACAACAACAAGAAGCAAGATGATGATCAATCAAGCAAATGCAAGAATCGATGAAGTTGAAGATGCACTCGTTATGTAGTTTAGATAATTCTATTGACTCATGGATTATGGACTCAGAGTGCGTCATTTCATACTACACCTTCCTTAGAACTATTATCTAACTATGTTTCCGGAAAGTTTGGGAAGGTCTACCTTGCAGATGGAAAATCTCTTGATATCATAGGAAGAGGTGATATTAACATCAGAACCTCTAATGGAAACGTGTGGACTTTGAATAATGTCAGACATATTCCAACCTTAAAGAGAAACTTAATATCTATAGGACAATTGCTGAGGGGGAGATTGTTGCAGGTAGCATCAATTGTCCTGTGACGAAGGTCAGGTGGGCCGAGTCACAATTGAATCGTGACGCTTCGGCTGTTAAAGTAAAAAGAGTTGCGCTCTGACTAATGGCTATAGCTTTTGGCCTAGTGGTAAGCGCTCGATCCTAACAATATATTTAATGACGTGAGTCTTTTTCTTTTATCAAATTTACAACAATTGTCTTAAAAGAACATGCTGCTAAACGAATAACGGCACAAAATAATTACGCGACCTTCCTTGTTGTATGTACGACGGCTTTTTCTACGAGAGAGGTTAAAAAATTTTAGATTTTACTACACGTGTTAGAAAATTTTGAATTTTACTACAATGAACTGCATCGTATAAGGAACAATGACTTAGGAGGATTGAAATGCATAAATTTAACTAAAATCGTGTTTTTAAGCATGATTTTAGTAATTTTTTTAATTATATTTTCATTTTTTTAACATGTTAAATAATATGAGTTAGACATAATTTTTTTAAATAAGATTTTTTTTTATTTTTTAAAATATTTTATTAAATAATTTTTTTTAATTGAATTATTAATTTAATAAAATAACAAAAGTGACTATTTTGTGAAATAAGATTTCATTACTATTATAATATATATATATATATATATATATATATATATATATATATGTGTGTGTGTGTGTGTAATATTTTAATATAAATATAATAAATTAAATTTAATCATATTTGTTTAAATATTTTTATTTTTTATTAAATTAATAATTTAATTAAAAATAATTATTTATTAAATAATATATTTTAAAAAACAAAAAAAATGTCTTTTTCCAAAAGAAATAAAAAGGTTGTGCTTCATAATACTTAAAAAAAAAAAAACTTGAAATCGTATTTGAAAGCACCATTTAAAAAAAATATAATAAGAATTAAGATATCATGCTTTTGAGGATGAAATCGTTTCTTCTCTCATCTTTTAACCCATTCTAGAAAAATTAAAATTTTTTAACCATTTGAGGAAAACCAAAAATTTTTTAATCTTGGTAAAAAAAAAAAGCCTATGTACGACTCAGTCAACATGTTTTTTTTAAATATTTAATTCTTATCCTCTTGATGAATTTAGTTTTCCATTTTATTGCAATAGATTTTTAAATGCTGGCATATTTGGAAAAGATTCGGAATCGTGTCATACTTTACCTCAATCAGTCACAAGGGCATCTATGTTGGTTAGGATTAATACTTTGCTTCAAGGATATTCGGGCATAAGATTTGAAATTATGGAGGTCATAGCCAAGTTTTTGAACCAGAACATAACCCCTTGTCTCCCACTACGTGGCTCAATCACTGCATCAGGTGACATAATTCCTTTATCATATGTTGTTGGCCTCTTAATTGGGAGGCCAAACTCTAAGTCAATTGGACCTCATGGAGAAGTTCTTAATGCTAGAGAGGCCTTTCAATTAGCAGGAATTGACGGTGGTTTCTTTGAGTTGCAACCTAAAGAGGGTTTGGCATTAGTAAATGGCACTGCAGTGGGATCAGGTTTGGCTTCCATCATTCTTTTTGAGGCAAACTTACTTGTCATCCTCTCAGAAGTCTTGGTTGCAATTTTCGTTGAAGTTATGCAAGGAAAACCAGAATTCACAGATCACTTGATTCATAAATTGAAGCACCACCCTGGCCAAATTGAGGCTGCAGCTATAATGGAGCATATATTAGATGGCAGTTCATTTATTAAGGCAGCACAAAAGTTCCATGAAATTGACCCACTTCAAAAGCTTAAACAAGACAGGTATGCTCTTAGAACATCACCTCAATGGCTTGGACCACAAATTGAAGTCATTAGGCATGCAACAAAGATGATTGAAAGGGAGATCAACTCTGTGAACGACAACCCCTTGATTGATGTTTCAAGGAATAAGGCACTTCATTGTGGAAATTTTCAAGGTACTCCAATTGGCGTTTCAATGGATAACACTCGTTTGGCCATTGCATCCATTGGAAAACTTTTGTTTGCCCAATTCACGGAACTTGTTAATGACTTATACAACAATGGTTTGCCTTCAAGTTTAGCTGCTAGTCACAACCCAAGCTTGGATTATGGCTTGAAAGGAGCAGAAATTGCAATGGCATCCTATTGTTCAGAACTTCAATACCTTGCAAATCCTGTCACCAATCACGTCCAGAGTACCGAGCAACATAACCAAGGCGTAAACTCGTTAGGCTTAATTTCTTCAAGAAAGACAGCTGAAGCATTAGACATATTAAAGCTCATGTCCTCCACTTTCTTAGTTGCATTATGCCAGGCTATTGATCTGAGGCATTTAGAGGAAAATTTGAAGAACACTGTCAAGAATATTGTGCGTGAAGTTGCCAAAAGAGTTCTCACAATTGACATTAACCACGAGCTACATCACTTTAGGTTATATGAGGACTTGCTTAAAGTTGTAGATGGCGAGTACGTGTTTGCTTACATTGATGAACCTTGTAGGACAACCTACCCTCTAATGCAAAAGTTGAGGTTAGTCCTAATTGAACATGCATTACAAAATGGTGACAAAGTGGCAGGTTCAAGTACCTCAATTTTCCAAAAGATAAGAGCTTTCGATGAAGAGCTCAAAGCCCTTTTGCCCAAAGAGGTGGAAAGTGCTAGGATTGAAATTGAGAATGAAAATCCTGTTATTCCTAACCGAATTAAGGACTGCAGGTCTTACCCATTATACAAGTTTGTGAGAGAAAATCTGGGTACAAGTTTGCTAACAGGTGAGAAAGTGAGGTCACCGGGTGAGGAATGTGATAAGGTATATATTGCATTGTGTGAATGGAAGTTTATCGATCCTATGTTGGATTGCTTAAAGGAGTGGAATGGAGCTCCTTTACCGATATGATAAAATGGTGCCACCTTCTTCATTTTTATTTTAAGTTACTTCATAATTTTTCTATGATGTATGCTTTTGTGATGTATGATGCTTTTATGGTAATAAGAAAATTTTCTCCATTTAATAAATGTTTCTTCTTCTCTTGCAAGCAATTGCGAGGTTCATTAATGTTGGTTAACATTCTTGCATGTATTAGAAAAAAAAACTGTATATAAAATTAATAGAAATATATAACCAAGGTTATCTTCTTTTATGCAAACATTCGAAAAAGTAAAACATAATTATGTGTTTAAATGGAGAATCACATAAAAGTTCCATGAATGTGTTCTTAGTCTCTCCCTTCTCAAATCTTAGATACCTTAAGGTGCAATTAAACTTTAGGTAAGAAAACTAACCTGTTTTTAGTTTATAGTTAGATAATAATTGATAAATCATTATTGATATTGGTGTCTATGTCTTGAGTGAAAACAATCTGAAGTTTTTTTTTTTCATTATTATTATTAGGAGTGTCAAAGTGAGTCAACCCGACTCACACAGTTGGCTCATTACGGACTGAGTTGAAAATAGACGAGTTCAACATGACTCATTTTATGGCGAGTTCAACATGAGTTCAACCCACTACGGGTTGGTGGGTTGATTCACTAACCCACTTTTTTTTTTCTAATAAGCACGACTGAAAAACAAGACTGAACATAATGATGTGATGACACAACAAACTTTGTAATACAACTAAAATGCGGCAAACGTTATGATACAACTAAAACACGGTAACATGGTGACGTAACGAATGCACTGCAACGAATGTGGTGACGTGACAAACGTTGTGGCACGATTGAAATGTGAGACTGAAACACTATGACTTTGACATGACAAAAGTTATGATGCGATTGAAACGCGGAACTGAAACGCGACAAACATTATAACGTAATTGATGATAACCTTAAACCCTAAACATCAATAACGTAATTGATGATAACCTTAAACCCTAAACATTATAACGTAATTGATGATAACCTTAAAAGAGAGTTTGACTTGTACTTACAACATAGAATAGAGGTGGAGAAAAAAAAAATATCAATTAAAATTACTAAATTATTATTAATTATTTTAAAAATTTAAAATGAATGTGGGTTGCGGTCAACCCACCATAACCCGACTTCGAACCCGTTTAACCCGTGAGTTAAGTGAGTCAGGTTCATTTTTAACCCATTATTGGCAGAAATGAAAATAATCAAATCCAACCCATTCGAACTCGTAGTGAACCGGATTGACTCACAAGTTAAAACCACGACACTTTTAATTATTATTATGATTATGTATATTTCAATTTCGTTTTCTACAAGGTTTTTTGGTGAAGTATATTTTAGCCAAATAGATAGTTCAAACAATGATAAAAATGTTATTATTATCAAGTTAAAAAACTAAATATAAAATTAGAGACTAAAAACAAAATCCATTAATTTATTAGAGTTAAAAATATATTTAACCCAAGTTTTTTTAACATCCAGTTACTAATAACAATCGCCACTTTTACGTGTAACTTTAAAAACTTCATGACTTGTAATAAAATTTGGTATCTTTCTTAAGAGAATGTCTTGTATAGCAAAATTTATTAACTATGTTAAAAAATAAACTAAATTTGAATAATTTGTTATTAATTAAATTTCTTTTAGTACAATAGTAATCAATAACTATCGACAAATGATTTTTTGTTTCGTATTGTTAAAAATAAAAGAATATAAAGAAAAATATATTATAACTTGCTAAAAATTGTAACTCAAAAATTAACTGTGAAATATCTAATTTGATTTTCTAATATTTACATACCTCATAGATATTGACCCACACAGCTATATATAACAGGAAACTTATTGAAACCTCATAATAATAATAATAATAATATATTAAAATGATATATAATAGAAAAATATAATATTTTTTAACAAAAATAAGTTATTAGTTAATGTTTGTAAGTTTAAAACAATCAATAAAAAGCTAATAAATAATCTTTAATGTTCAAATCTATATAAAAAAATACAATATTTTGTTTAAAAAAACAGTTTTAACTCCAAAATAGAAATAGTTGTCTAAAATATGTTAATATATATTGAAAACTACATAAAAAAGAAGAAAAAATAGGGTAGGCAACACCAGAATGCTGGAAGTAGATCCATACCTGATCATAACCTATTTTCTCAACCTTGAAACAGTCTTTCCAATGAGTAGAAACTCATAAATAAATAAAAATATTACTTCTTTTATGAAAAGAGATTATATTTGTGTCATAAACAGACTTACTCCACAACTTCCTACCAACAAAGCACCGTTTATTAAAATGGAGGTTGGTGGGGGGTTTTGTTTCTAGTATTGGTGTCACCACTCAACTTTGTGATAATCTCATGTTATTCCAACCCTAAATATGCTTTTATTGCTTCTATTTAAAATATGAGATAAATTGAAGACTTCTCCCTTCTACATCTAATTTTAGTGGATAATATTAACAAAGATCTCATATAAATTATTCCAACAAATTTTCACTATACCAATCCTAATCATATCGTTGTAGTTTTGTTTAGAAAAAAAAAAAAAAAGCAACTAGAATTATTTTGAATATAGTAGATCAAACATGAGGGTTAAGGGTTAGGTGGCATTTCTATTATACAAGTTAAGTGTTTTAGGTAAGATTGGAAATAGATGATTTTAGGGTCAAGGGACAATGAACCAATAGAAAAAAATATTTATATATTATCTTCTTTCAAAATCTGTGGATTCAAAATTTCTATGGCCGTGAGGGGAACTTTGGAAGTTGGGAAACCTTTTACAGTATACATTTTCAGAAACATGAAGAAGTCAATGCAGTAGAAATAGTTAGAGTTAGTGAGAAAAATAATGACGTAGAATTTGGGGAAAAACAAATGGATGAAAACCGTCTCATTAATCCCTCTACTCGTCAAACCAATATGGATTACCAACTTGTAATCCTCAAACCACAAGAAATCTCAAATGCCAATTATCATATTTCATCGGCATTCAATTTTATTCATTTAATCTTTCTTTTAATTAAACCCAATGTTTTACTACAACTACTAATAAAAAGAAAAACGAAATGCCACACACATTGGTCCCAACAAAAGAAATATTAATGAATCTGTGTTTGATGTACTAGGATTTCAAATGTTTTTGTTGTGTACACATTACACTCATTATATTAATTAGCAGCTATGATTGTAAAATAACTTTTGTCTAAAAAGAAAGAAAAAAACAAGAAGAAATGAGAGGAGATTTTGGTACTTGAACATCGTATACATGAATATGTCCAAACAAAAATGTCTCTAAACACTTTGAAATCGTCTTCTCTCCACCAACCCCTCTTACTCTGCCTCTTCCTCGTGCCCATGCCCTACCCTTCATCTCACTTACCTCTCCTTTTCCAAAACATTGACCCCCAAATAAAACTTGGATTGAAAAATGGACCCACCACTCCACCACCTACATTGCCAAAGCTATATACTCTCTCACTCACACACTTCATCCTTCCACGTGCCACCATCCCAACCCTCCCTTCTGTCCTCATCCAACGGCCACTCCCCCTTCTCAACTAACCCATCGGCTTACCCACCTACACTCAATGTCACCAACCCATCTATATATACCCCCTTTTTTTCCCTCTTTCCTCAGGAAAATTTTCTTCCACATTCCCAAAAAGAAAATTTTCCATTTACCATTCTTATGCAATCCCACCCTCCAATCCCACATTTCTGCATTTTTTCCTTTCCAATTTCCTATAACTTCCCATTTGTACAACCCACCTAGTACTTACACATCTTCACCCTTTCACAATTTTATTATTCACACATATCCATACACAAGCTCTGCAGAAAAAATAAAAAATAAAAACAACCTTAATTTTGATTCTTCCCACGTCCTACGTATATTTCCTACCCCGACATCGATCGCTTTCTGATGATGGAATATTCCAACGGAAACCATAATGGTTCGTTGAACCTTTGCAATGGTAGCTACGACCCACTTAACTGGGGCAAGGCTGCGGAAGCTTTGAAAGGAAGCCACCTTGATGAGGTGAAGCGCATGGTGGAGGACTACCGTAACACGGTGGTGACGTTAGGCGGGAAGAGCCTCACGGTGTCTCAGGTGGCGGCGGTTGCCACCTGCCATAACGGCGGCGTGAGAGTGAAGCTGGCGGAGGAGAGCCGGCAGGGTGTGAAGGCGAGCAGTGAGTGGGTGATTGACAGCATGGCGAAAGGCACTGATAGCTACGGGGTCACCACGGGGTTCGGTGCAACCTCACACAGGAGAACCAAGCAAGGTGCTGCCCTCCAATACGAACTCATCAGGTCATTCGTTCGTAACTATCACATGAATTAATTCTACTCTTTAGTCCAATTGAAAACTAACATTTATGATGATTAGTTTAAAAGTTATATGAACTATGATTTTTGGTTGCGTTATCGTTTAAATTCTCCAATTGATCGATTAAATTGCATGCGAGTGTCGTTGATGTTTTGTTTCTACGTATGACTGAATATTTTAATGTTTTTGGTTTTTTGGGGGTAGGTGGGTTACCAGTGATCCGCAAGATGAAATTAGGTATAGGGTCCTGTCATGATCTGTATTTTTTTTTATTTCCTTTATCGTGTGTTTTGTAGATTTCACACTGGTGCGTCACCTTTTCTTCTTGTGTCTACCTTCATTAATTAAAATTATTTCGTACATGTTGGTCCCAGATAACGTGAATTCTAATTCAGATAAAATATAAATGAAAATAAATAATTATAGTTTCTGATTTAAAAATGGATAACACCGATATTTTCTAACCTTTAATACTTATTATTTGATAAAACTCCACTTATGTTATGAACGTTTCAAAAACCCACGAAAAACCTTGTTGAATGAAAGCTTACGTGCAGGTTACAAAAAGTCAATAAATACTTGAGATTTTTTTATAAGGTCTTTTTGTAAACAAATATTTTAAATTTATTTTAGTCAAT